TTGGGGCCAGTGTGCATATCGCACCATACCTGTTACATCCTTGGCCTCTTTAATAAGAATAAGGATTCTGGGAGCTGTAATTCCTCTGAATGTGCTAGGTGTCCTCAGTGGAGATTATCTCCCAGAAAGATCACATGTTTAGGGGGATCATTCTACTAGCACTAGTGAGACCATTATTGCAGAGACCAAACTAAAGCATGGCTCACTCCAGCCAAGCTCAGAAGAGGAAGACTTCCCCCACAGCTCTCCCCTGTTCTCCTCAAAGCTCCTGCCTTCTTCATAGTGAGATCTTACTACCAGACTGCTCCCAATTCTCCATAACACTCCCTCCCTTATAGGGCACAGTTCTGCCCTCACTTAAAATCGACAGCAAAATTCCTGTTGGCTTCAGTGGTAAAAGGATTGGATTTATGGTGTGCTGAGAGGAATTAATTAATTTCCATCGCTATTACCCTGAAAATCCCTACACAGAACCTTCAGCTAGCCAAAGGGGAGGGTTAACCTCTGCACTGCCAAATGCAAGATGCCAGATCCTTGGCAGAGCAGTGCTGCTGTATCAACACATCTGTCACCTCTCCCTCAGACAACCGCATAGGAGGAACGTCCGAGGGAAAAGGAACATGGCTAGGGCCTTGGTAACCCTCAGCTCCCAGAATGGCCCCTTTGGGACCATGAGTAGTTAGCATAAATAGAGGAGCTTTAAAGTACATTATGCCAGCACACAAGCCCAGACCCCCAACTTTGCACCATCTCCCTCCTAGGGGGAGCCAGACAGAGGCCAGACTGGAAAACCTGGCCCTGGTTTTTACTGGGTGAGGCAAAAGAATGTCAGGTCAGTCCAGTGTTAGCAGGGAGATTGTCTTGCGAGTACTAAACAATGTTTGTCTTTTCCATTTTTAGATTTTGTTATTCTGTAATTCTGGGAATGGTTCCAGTGGTTTAGCAAGAAAAAAAGATCCATAAATACTTGAGAAAGCATAAATTTTCATTCAGTTGAGGACTGCTGTATACACACAGACAGAAAAGCCAGCTCATTACACTGCAATTCATATTTGGACCATTTATAATTTGGAAGATAATAATTTTCTGACAAAATATATTAATAGCCAAATGCTAGCTCAATCATCATTACTGCCTCCTTTACTGCTCAGTTTTTAAGCATTGCTTTAAAAAAAAAAACAGACACATTGCATGACTCTGACACTCTAAATTTGTAAATAAATTACATTTTGATACGTTCCATTGAGATACAATCCTCTTTTATTGCTGGTGTGTACATTGAAAATGATCTGTAGCATCCTAAATCACTGTATAAAAAAAAAAAGGCAGCCTTCTGCAATAAATCTGAAGTTCTAGAAATGAGGACTATGTAGCATGTGAACAGGGAGCATAAGTTTGTAGTGGTTTCCAGTATATCTGACAAAAGGCATTTTGATCTTGATTTCATGCTAGATATGCACAGTCTTCCTATTCACAGTGGTTAGCTAGCTTTCCAAACATGATTCAAATATGCTGAAGCTAAATGACTGTTCCAACAAAGAAAGAGTACATCAAAACAAGTTATTCGCCACCTTCAATATGTTTAGGAGAAATTAACTTTTTAAAAGTGAAATGAATAGACTATTTCTTGTGACAAGGACTCACTGACAGTTCTGTGGGTGGATCCTGGTGTAAGTGGTCATAGCTCCACTGACTCAATGAAAATTTACAGCAGCCGAGAATCTGCCTCCTGGAGCCTATTTGGACAGGTACTATCAAGGCAGGGCAGCGCAATCATCCTTCCCTACCTCTGACCTACCAATGTCCCTTACTCCTCTCCTGATGGCACTGTCTCTAGAGGTTTAGTCTCCATACCCTGCAGTGTTTGGCCTCTTTACTGAGACTACCAACCAGTTGGTAATTAGCATCTATTATGATTGTAGCTTTTGTGATGTATTTTAGGTCCATGACACCTACAAACCAGACTGGAACAATCAACAATCAAACGTGTGTTAATATTCAAAAAGAATAAACAGGATGACTCAGGTAATTATAGGTCTGACACTGATCCCAGACAAAATAACAGAAGTGCTGATACAGGACATGATTAATAAAGAATTAAAGAAGGGTAATATAATTTATGACAATCATCCTGGGTTTATGAAAAATAGAATAATATAATCATAGAATATCAGGGTTGGAAAGGACCTCAGGAGGTCATCTAGTCCAACCCCCGCTCAAAGCAGAACCAATCCCCAAATAGATCTTGTCAAACTAACTTGACATCTTTTTTTATAAGAGTTCAAGTTTCATTAATAAAATATAGCATTGATGCAGTAGATCTGTGCAAGGCATTTGACTTGGTACCACAAAATGTTTCAAGTAATAAACTGAACGAAAACAGTTCAATGTGGCCAAAATTAAATGGATTAAAATCTGGCTAAATGATAGATGTCAAAATTTAATTGTAAGCAGGGGATTATCAAGTGGGTGTGTTTCCAGTGGGATCCCACAAGGGCTGGTTTTTGGCCTTATGCTATTTAATATTTTTATCAGTGACCTAAAAGAAACACAAAATCATCATTCAGAAAGTTTGCAGAGGACACACAGATTGGGGGAGTTGAAAATAATGAAGGGGACAGGCCACTGGATCACTTGCAAGCTGGATGCAAGCAAACAATATGCACTTAATACAACCAAACATAAATGTTTACATCTATAGACAAAGAACGTAGGCCATACTTATGGGATGGGAGGACTCTATTCTGAGAAGCAGTGACTGAAGAGGACTTAGGGGTCATGGTGGCTAATCAGCTGAATAAAAGGTCTCAGTATGACGCTGTGGCCTAAAAGCGCTAACGCAATCCTTGAACGTATAAATAGGTGAATTTCTAGCAGGATTAGAGAGGTTATCTTATTTCTGTATTGGGTATTAGTGTGACCATTGCTGGAAGACTGTGTCCAGTTCTGGAGTCCACATTTCAAAAAGGATGTTGATAAATGGAGAGGGTAAAGAGAAGAGCCACGAGAATAATTAAAGGTTTAATCTATTTAGCATATCAAAGAGAATGTTAGGGAGTTATTGATCAGTCTATAAGCACCCACATGGAGAACAGAAATTTGGTAATAGAGGTTTCAGAGTTGCAGCCGTGTTAGTCTGTATCCGC